ACTTAAAATTTCGACATAACTTGCATGTATTCTACAAACTGCGGCACACACAGCCAAAGATGTTCAGCGTATGAAAAGAATACTTCGTTTGTTGAGTTTTACTTACGAAGTAGACAGAAAAGGTACCTGGCAAAAAGATGGTTCGAAGCGAGCCGTCACTCAAACGGGCCGAAGGCACGTTTTCGGATAGAAGATGTATTACACCATAAAAATTCAGAAGGAACGGGCCGAAGGCCCGTCCCAAACGCCGCCGGCAGGCCAAGCTGGGCGCTCCCTGCCGAACCGAGTTGCCGGTGGAGCGAAGCGGAGCTGGCAACTTGGTTTGGCGGAAGAGCGGGCCCAGCTTGTTGGCTAAGCGATTAGCGAAGCCCATTACTCTACTGACCGGAAAAGTTTCATTCTGCCTGTCTGTCCGATAACTCGAGAAAGAATTGAGAGAGCGATCTGGGACTTTCAGTGTCGTTTTGTATCATAAAAAGACAGATCGAGTTCGAAGATGAGCATTGTAGCTCAAAAATTGACTTTAATCAAAAATCAAAAACCACAGGTCAACCTTCGGCCAAAAATTTCGTCCGTTTTGCTCTATCTTGTACCGTTTCGGCGCTATGGGTCATTTCTTGGCGAAAACAACGTGAAAAAGACAAAATGGTCTATTTAATCGTAAAAATCTAAATCAAGAATCTATCTTGAAAGCAGATGATACAAATTTGAGAATAGGTCTGTTTACTAATTTTCTCTCATATTTAGGTGTCATTTGTTTATGGCTGCTTGTTATTACTTGCAATTTTGTAATTCGGCGGACTAGCGGCGTTGATGAGCTAAGTAAGGGTGGGGCAGAGCAGAGCGGCCACCGTCGGTGGCTTAGTATGGTCTGCTATTGTACAAGGACGGGGCCTGCACTCTGCCCTGACCTGCCTGACGCAGTATTGTTGGGTAGAGGAAGGCGCCTTACGGGCGGACAGAGTAGGCAAACCCGCTGACAGCGGCGCGTGCTCTGAACCACCCGGTACTGGTACCGGGTGTTTCAAAGCAGACACCTCGGTGTTGCGGGATTGCCTATTCTCTTCGTCCGCAAGGTGCCATGGTCCTTGCGCCCGTAGAGAGTATGCAAACCTGCAACACTGAGGTGTCTGCTCTGAAACACATGGTACAGTTTTCTTAGTTTGTATTGTTATCCGACTAATAGCGCAACGTTTCTGTGTACTTGTAGCATACTGTCCATATTTTCACTAAGCTTCGGACGAGACTTTTGATAACATCTATTCTCATGCCCATGGGCAACTACATGACCTTGGTCACTCACTTGAGATCAATTCTCGATTCTTTGGACAAAGATACTAACACTCTAAGGAAAACGGACATTAGTGGTGCGGATAAAATGAACTTTAAATCCATTGAAAATATGACAAGTGAGGCGGTCCTCCAGGCCCTTAGAGAACAGGAGGAGAACCGTGCCGGAGTGGTTCTTGACGACGATGCAGGGCATCATTTCGGCGTTCCTTGCCATAAACACGACGCCAATCCAGCGCGTCTTCCTCATGTGACGGGTCGTGTTCTTCCTCAGGAAGAGGCTGTCGCTTCAAGAAGAGGGCTACGACTTGCAGGACCACTTCATAACGAACAACGCCTTCCTGTGCATCGAGGTCAATGCCCACAACCTTGTAACCGGCATGCGGCAACTTAGAGACCGACGCCATCAAGATTTATTTATGCCTTTCTTGTGGAGTAGCCAACCCTGGGAGGCATAGTTCAGGGATGCTAGGTCGCTGACCAACCAACTCCACAGTTGTAAATTTTAGGACCCTGGAGCTTCTGCGACGCCAGGGGCGGATAGAGCTCCAGGCTTACGTAGCGAACCAGATCGGTGGCGAGTTTTCTTTCATCAGGTAAATGCCATAAAAAATTACTGAGCGTCTGCTGAAGTCCTTACATTAATCTGGTCACCCCCCCCCCCCCCCCCGACTCCCGTAGAGCCGTTGAATCATGTGTTCTTTACTTATTGTGATTCACACCCTGCCATTAATTTCCAGAGAGACTCCTAGGCAAGGAGCCAGAGTTTCCTTCCGGGAGGGAGTGCGCGTGATTGAATTGCCGGCTGACGATGCGATAATCGCCAATGTCAAGGCAGCCTACAAGTCTGCTGTTGAGGTGGCACATTATCTCGGCATCGAGCTCCACGAAGACCTGATGGGCTTGGAGGCACCCGACTGCTTATATTCTGAGAAGATCGACATCTCTGAGGAGGCGGAGACAGATGTAGACAACGAGCCAGAGGTAAATTACCACGGCGATGGCCCCTACCGGGTGGGTGTTCCGCGCCGTCTTTTTAAAATGCTTATACTGTACCGGATTCACGCTTGCGGTCAGACTTGCCTACCGTCGCTCGCCAGGGCGCCTTACGGTGCCGTGCAAATATGCAACCCGTTGGCACGTAAAAATCCGGTACGGTATAAGCATTTAAACAAGACGGCGCGGAGCACCCACCCTGTATCGCACAGCCTTTTTTTTTCTTACTTATTTACAGGCAAATTTTAATAATTATTCTGTCATTGTTTGGGCAGTCTCATATCCCGAGAAGCTGGACCCTCATGATGTGGCGCTTCTCCGTATGGCGGAGAGGGAAGCCCCACATAAAGGCCATGGTCCAGGAGGCGGTGAACTCCCGGCTCAGGCGCTGCACCCCAAGTCACCCTTCGCGCTCTATCGCACTCCTGGTGGGGCCGAGGTGCTAGTGCGCAAGACCACTTTCTGCTGGAGGCTAGGATCGGGTATCAAAAAGATAAGTGCTGACCGTGTGCAGCGCTACATGGCTGGGCACGAAAATCCCGACCAACCATCACGCCGCTTCCAGGCCGTAGTCAATAATTTCGGCAAGGTTATGAATCAGTCTGGTGAGTTGGTTCGTGGTTGAGTGATTGGGCCTGCAGCCGAATTGGTGGTCAGGAATTGGTTGTGGTTGAGCTTAAAGAAGTTTTCGAACAAACGCGTTGGCATCGGGTCTGAAACCACTCGATTTTAACTATCAGATCTTAGTCCGAGCGCTAAGAAACTCACCGTGTGCGTCACTGTTTGTGTCGTCCCTAGCGGCACCAGCTGTAGCTCCCACAACAGGAAGACGGCGGTGTGATGGTTGCGCGACTCAGAGTGAAAACAACTTCCTACAGATGGCACTATACCCTGTTTACCTGTGACGTACCGTTTACCCGCTAGGGGGGTTCAAGATCATGAGCAAATCACTGTACCCTCTACCCTACCACTTCTTTAAAACGGACACGAAAATAGTCTATGCCTACCGATAAATAGTTGGCTGAGTGGTTAGCACCAAAGCCTATTACCCCACTCACCGAAAAAGCTTCATTCTGTTTGTTTGTCCGTCTGTTTGTCAGTCTGTACACGATAACTCAAGAAGGATTTGAGATAGCGATCTGGGAATTTCAGGGTAGTTTTATATCAGAAAAAAAAAACAACGGATCAACCTCGAAGATGAGCATTCTACCCCAAAAATTGACTTCAAATATCAAAACCACAGGTTGCCAATTTTTTTTATCAAATATTGATTTATAGGTTTCTAACGAGTAACTCTTTAAAGTAGCAGTCTCTAGAAGAAAATTTCGTCCTTTTTGCCCTATAGTGTACCGTTTGGGTGCTAGAGGGCATTTATTGACGAAAATAAGGCGAAAATGGTCAAATGGTCTATTAAATCGTAACAAGCGAAGCCATCTTCACTTCGCTCCGCAGGCAACTCCGTTCGGCAGGGGCCGGGCCTGCTTGGCCTTCTAGCGGCGTTTTCAGTCACTACAGTATAAAACCTCCGTAGATGCACAACAATCGGGACCAAGGTCTTGCAAACGGTACCCTATTGATGACAAACTTTTCTGGTGTGTTATCAGATGTGATACATTTGTGGTAGTATGATACGAGGGGGCCACCACTTCGATTGAGGATGTACACAGGATTACGTGATTACAGGGATTACACGTCAATTTTGAATGATTACACGTGAGTTACGTTGAATTTTAGGCTCTAAAACAATCAAATTTGGACAATTAGGTAAAATTTAGTGATGTTTTAAAATTTGGTCAAGGATTACACGGAATAGATACGGATTACGTAGGGATTACACCCTCATCTGTACACAGGATTACGCGAGTGGTGCCCCCCTCGGTATGATAGCACACTGTTTGCAAAATGTTGGCTCAGCACGTCTCAGCGGAACAGTTCTTTGTGTTGTATCGCGAAGCCTGTTACGCGAGAGGTGGTCTGGCGTCCCAAAACTAAAAGGAAACAGGGAGATCGCATGTGATTGGCTGAGCGATTAGCGAAGCCTATTACTCCGTCTGGTCGGAAAAAACTTTTTCTGTCTGTCTGTCTGTCTGTGTGTGTGTCTGTCTGTCTGTCTGTCTGTCTGTCCGCACGATAACTCGAGAACGAAGTGAGTGAGCGACCTGGGATTTTCAGGGTAGTTTTGTGCCATCAAAAGACAGGTCGAGTTCAAAGATAAGCATTCTAGCATTCAAGCAAAAAAAAAAAATTAAAAATCAAAAACAACGGGTCCGAAAAATGACGTTTTTTAAAAATATTTTTATATGGTTTCATAGGGGGCAATTCATCAAAGTAGAGCCCTTTGGGCGAAAATTTTGTCCGTTTTGCTCTACATCAAACCGTTGAGGCGCTAGAGGGTATTTGTGACGAAAAGAAGCGATAAAATGTACAACCCTGCATGCTTAGTCGAAGTGATGGGCCGTAGGCCCGTATCTTTCGGTACAAATTGCCACTACCCGACACGGGTGTCAGCGCCGCAGGCCAAGGTAGATGTATGCCAGGCGCGTCGCAGCGTAACAGTGTTTCGTGAGATATCGCGAAGCCTGTTACGCGAGACGTGGTCTGGCGTACATCTACCTTGTTACTTGCTTGAGCAGAATTTAGTGGGGCTTGACTGAAACGGAAAGGTACTGTCTGGTGCCAGTTAATTCCAAGCGATACCGCGAACAAGTTTTAAGCAGGATGTTGCTCCCTTATATTTTGGGCTTGTACTCGCAGGCACCACGCACGCTCGACAGGCAGTATACCAGTATGCTCGGACCGACAGCATTTCTTTTAGGTAAGATTTCCAAAAGATTTCGCTCCACCGGTCCTTCACCATCCGTGCGGCACCAATATTAACCAATAGATCATTTTAGTTTTTGTGAAAAAAGAAAAAAAAACTAATCGAGAAACAGTTTGTTTGTCCCTATTGCAAAGCACGCACGTCACTCCAGCGCTGGCGAAACCACGCAACTCCGCGGAGCGTCCGTCAAAGCACGCACAGCGGCCCGTTGCTTGCGGAACCACACAAAGTTCTTAGGCGCTGGCGAAACACGTATCGATGTTTTTCAAAAAAAAAAAAAAAATGAGATAACTGTATATTCTGAAAGAGGGAAACGTCCTCTTTTTTAAGGTATAGGTCTGGAAAATCACCCAAAATATCGAGTTGCGTGGTTTCGCCAGCGCCTAAGAACTGTGCAGGGTTTTGCCAACGCCGGACCGCTGTGCGTGCTTTGACGGAGGCTCCGTGGAGTTGTGTGGTTTCGCCAGCGCCGGAGCGCCGTGCGTGCTTTGCAATAAAGAATTCCGGGAAATCTGAAATGCAGAAGAATGCGGGGAACAAGAAAACGGAAGTCACCGTGTTCGATCATAGCGATTTCCGTTTTCTTGTTCCCCGCATTCTTCTGCATTTCAGCTTTACCGGAATGGTTTATTAGGGACAAGCGAGTTGGGCGAGGGGCAAAGAGGGACGGGGTCGATTAGAAGACAGTGCTTCTTCGGTTCATTATTCTTTTCTTCTTCACATCACCTAACCTGAAATGGTCTATCAAAATACTTCGGGCAATGGAAAGGAGCAGGAGTGGATAGGATAACTTGCTGCTGGCTCCTGGCATCTATAGTGTAATTCGGAACGGAGGAAGAAGAAAGACGGCAAGAACGTTGATTGGTCGAGAGATTCCCGCCTCTACCTCACACCAGTCGGTGGGGTACAGGCTCGACATTCAACCCTCTCTTTTTCTTCCTCCGTTAGCCGAAAAACACCATGTGTGCGCAGAGGGCAGCCCGCTCCGCTCTGCTGTTCCTTTCGTGTGCTGCGTCAACTTATTACTGAAGTTTAGCTTGATACCAAATTTTACTCAAACCAACGTTATTATAGCTTTGAGTGCGAGCTGGCAGCGGGAAAACAATTTTTGTTTGCACGATTGCGCTAGCGATCTGAAAGTTAAAGGGTCGATTTGTACAGTAAGGTGCTCTAGGCCATCCAAACCGGAGGGGAAGGGGGGGGGGGGAGGCAAATTCACTGATTGGTCGAGCTGATCACGTGCCTTTACGGCCTTTCAGGAATAGGAAACTGTCAGGCCAGTTCCGAGCTCCCCTCCATATTTGAAAGGTTAGGATCAGACCAATCTTCCAATGTAAATTCTCAAACTGAATGGTCGGCAACAGATAGATCAAAGGAATTGTTCTTTCCCCTACCGTTTTACACTGTAAAAATTCTTTGTCACACTGACGAAAATTCCATGGATAATTTTAAGGAGAGGGGAGTCGTCATGGGTGTTTTCGTCACATGATAAGGGTTTTCTCGTCACGTCATACAGAGTGGCCGCTCTGCCCCGTTGTTTTTAGCCCGCCCTTCTGCTTTGAAAAAGCTATCCAGCGGGTTTATGCAAACGACCTCGTGTGCGTCTGTCTGTGAGTCTGTGTGTCTGTCTGTTCCACTAGAAGGAGATGTGCTAGAGACTTGAAATTTTCATGATGTCTTAAGGTCGCCTCCTAGAGAACGAACGAAACGCCTACGGCAAATCCTGGCAACCACCCCTAAGAGTGTGAATGGGGGTATCCAAGGTTCAAAAATTCTCCCCAATAGTTTTTATTGTGTTTTTCAAAGGAGTAACTAGTCAGAGTAGAGCCCTTCAAACGAAGATTTCGTCCGTTTCGCTCTATCTCTAACCGTTTAGGCGCTAGAGGGTCTTGTTTGACGAAAATAAGCTATAAATTGCCATAGTGAACAATAAGTTATAGAAAAATGTCTAAAAACCGCAAAATAGAAAGGAAACTTTCCCCCCGCCCCCAAAAAACCTTTTCTAAGCAGAAGGGTGGATTGTAGTCGCGGTGCTTCACCGTTACATCCCTTTCTCGTGTCTTCGCGGGGCAAACTCAAAGACGACGGGTTTAAGCGGGCCGAAGGCCCGCTACATCATTTGATGATGTTCTTCAGCAAATCACGCGACAGCAATGATCGGGCCGCGGGCCCGACCATCGCCGCCGGCAGGCTTAGCTCCGCCGGCAACTCCGTTCGGCAGGGACCCACACGGAAAAAAGACGTCTATTAGATGTCTAATATGCATCTTTCTCTAGACCCCCAAGGGTCTATTAGACGTTTAATCGTGTCTACCACTAGACGTCTATAATTGATCGATTGTCCACATTTACAACATCTATTAGACGTCTTTTTGTCGATGTTGAATAGATATCTACTGACAAGTATTTTACGACAAAATTTAAAAATTATAACTGTTCGCGAGCGAACTGACTACTCCCTCATGGCTCTGTGTTCTCCTTGGTTATCTTTGGACGTTCGAATCTACCACCAGTGCTGGGATTAGAACCCTCAACCTTTGGGTTCGAGAGCGCGAACGCTACCCCTCACCCGTCGGTTGCTTCTAGGAGGAGCTGTGTTGGAAGATGGTATCTTTCTACAGAGATGACTAGACGGCTACGCATATCTATAGATTGTCTACTTCTATACGGTGCATGAGAAATGACTCGGAGAGTTTGCTAGACCTTAGTGTCTTTTGGTAGATAGTAGGAAGATAGTCAATAGACGTCTAGAACTTACTGGTTTTAAGACGTAGACCTTTAAGACGTAGCAAAGATATCTACTAGACGTATCCGTTGCATTACAGGTAGACCTAGACGTCATAGACTGGTGGCAGATGATCTATAGATATCTTCATATCGACAGAAGTATCATAGATCAGATATACAACCTCAAGACCGCCTATCGATGTCTACGGTATATCTATCAGTAGATATAGACAATTTGTACGTATTTTAGATGCTCTATTGATGTCTATAGATGTCTGTAGACCGAATAGACGAACGGTAGACCATCTACCATCATCTATAGATGTCTATTTTCCGTGTGGGGACCGGGCCTGCTTGTTTAAATGTAGACTAGCCCGCCCGCAGACGGGGCCGGTTGAGAAGCTCGTTGGAGGTGCGCAGCCAGCGTGCGCTGGTTGCGCACCTGCCTCTCCCGCCCCCTCCCCGTCCCCGCTCCATACCGACACCAACAGACTCTCCACCACTACCCTTTGCAACTGCGCAACCTACCCCCGCGTCGTCGCGAGGTGCCCTGCGTCGACCTCCGCGGTCCACGCAACCCCTCGCGGCCACCCTCGCTGTCCGCGTAACCCGAGGGGCCTCAACTTTCTTGTAGGATGTACGCCAAAATGCCAAGATTGCCAGATTGCTTGACAAATATTTTGCTTAGAGGGCATAAGCCGCCTGTGACTAGGCAAAACGCACTAATGTCACCCTGAATGTAGACAAAAAGCATGGCTTTTGCAGCCGATTACCTAGAGATTGCCGAAGATTTTAGCAGATTGCCGGGTTAGGTGTACACCAGATTGCCGGAGTTGACGCCCCCGCGGCGTAACCCCTCGTGGCCACCTCCACTAGGCCGTTTCATTTTGGAGGATCAGGAGTTCGATCATGTCGGAACGCATTTAAAACTAGCTATATGTACGCCAGACCACGTCTCGCGTAACAGGCTTCGCGATATCTCACGAAACACTGTTACGCTGCGACGCGCCTGGCGCACATATAGCTAGGCCTGCGGCGCGGACACCCGAGACGAGCTAATGGGATGGTATACGGGAACAGGGCGTTCCGGCCCAAAAATTTGACATACTGACAGCATTTGTCGGGGACATATTACTCAAAAATCACGGACATGAAACGTCTGCTGTTCGATAAAGGTTTTCATTAAAAGTTCGAATTCGGAAAGAATGTTATGTAAAAATCAACGTTTTAGTGATACTAGATAATCTAGGGACCCTTAAGCCTAAAAGAGGGTGTGGTTCGACCCGTAATGTGTGGTTTAAGTATTACTCCCTTTACTATTCTGTGACATAAAGCCTTTTTAGCGATTTAATAGACGATTTTGTCTTTTTCACGTTGTTTTCGCCAAGAAATGCTCCATAGCGCCAAAACGGTACAAGATAGAGCGAAACAGACGAAATTTTCGGTCGTAGGGTTCTACTTTCTCGAGTTACCCCTTAGGAG